TTATGGCTCCTTTCATAGTTTTTCAGGACCTGGTTGACTTGACAACTGTCTAGACAAGTTCTTTGTATCATTGTTTTGTACAAATGCTTCAAGTATTTCATTGATATAATATCATAAGGATAATAACAAGATATGCCAAATGATCARATAGGTGTCATGTTATTAGGTGAGTGTGACATAATGTGCTAGGTGCATATTTACCTAAAGTGGCAGCTTTGATGTGCTTTAATTCATCAGACATTGATGCAAATTCACTTTCTTTACTATACAGTTTAGCAGTGAGATCTACAAAACATGCAATGAAAGTGTAAACAGTTCTAATGGACACAAATATACAAAACAAAAGAGTTATAATCATTATAATCTATCATCAATTAACCAAACATGGCTACCAGCTTTGAACCCAACAGAGTTCTTTTCTTTATATTTCRTAGATTAAGTTGACGATKCCTGCCTATTTGCTTAATTTGTACTATATAAYATTACATCCARTTAGTGTCAGCTGGAAGGTGCTTTCAACTCTTTAATATTCCYCCTTTGTGTCTACATTGCCACCATTTTAATAGTGTGTTCCCCCTCCTTAGATGATATACATCCTTCCCTTAAAAATACTACAAGACACATCCCTGTCTACTGTAGTTGGRTGAGGCATTTGATTACCTTCAATCTGTGCCTTGAATGTTTCATTTTCATCATGTGTTTTTTGTAAATCTTTATTCTGTTAAATAACATAAAATGATAAAGTTTGGTTGATAAAAATAGGATTCATTTGAACTCAATTAAGGGATTGACATTGCTAGTTTGCATTATGATGTCCATGTTGTGCACTAACAAAGGTTGTTCATGTCATTATTGCATTTGAATGTCAAGGGATTGACTAAACACCTTTCCAGCAATTATTATATTAAGTAGAAGTTTATTACTTTTTTTAACCATAAGCTACAATGCATTTTATAGAGCTAAATAAGCCTGTTTTGARTTCAAACTTACAGCATTTTGCAAATCCTTGTCCAGGTTTTTGTACTTTGTATTTTTGCWATTGATCTCTATTTCTAATTGTTTTATTCTTTCCATTTGCTCTTCTTTACCATGACTTGCTTCCTCTAAAGAGGAAAGTTTACTTTCAAGTTCCCTGACTTTGGCTTGTGAACTCTCCAAGTTTTKCTTCATTGTTGACAGGTCCTGATTGGTCTCCAAGAGCTGGAATTCAATGTCTTCTGACTTTTTCTCTGAGTCAAACTTTTCTCTCTAATGGATAACAATCAATAAAATTGATGACTGTTCAATAATTAATAATAAAAAAGAATCTTTGCAAACTACACCAGGCTGTATTAGTATTAATAATCATAATAAGATTAAATTATGATTATACCGAGATATGATCAACTTACCTTAAGGTTTTTCAGTTCATCATTCAGTTTGGAGATTGTCTCTTGGTTTTCTTGTATTACTTGTTTTAACTCTTTGATTTGTTTCTCTTCAATCTAATATAAAATGTTTATGACTTTTGTAAGTTAAGGATATTTACTGATTCCTTTAGAGACTCTATGCAGCATATTGTCTATGCTTAAAGTTCCAGTACAGGTTGGAGCCTCAAATCTATGTGTAAATTGATTGTTTTCTCTGATTTTTATCCTTCTAGGAATAAGGCTATTCCCAACTGTATTAGAATTTAAAAAACAGTCAATAGTACAAAGCCGACAGATGATCAAATGACTTAAGAACACAACAACATCAGCAGTCAACAGCACCACTGATTAAAATAAATCGAAACACTTTCCTTTCTTTGGATGATAAGATGAGAGGTTTTAGTTGAGATGCACAATACAATGAGCCATGTTCTTAATAGAGAATTGGATATGGGCTGGAAATTACCAATCAATATCTCAAAATCTACCTAAATTTTCATCACTATCACCTTAATTTCATCTCCAAGGGTTATTTCTTCTTCTTCTAGTTTAAACAGCAAATCTTCATTTTTCCTACCAACAAAGCAAACAAATATCTCAGCAAAGAAATATCACTTCCTGTACTTGCAATAAAAATGCTATTAATGCTATGCAAATGACTTTGTGGTTGTCTTTATGTCTTTACAAGTGAACAGCATTGATGGGATTGACTGCATAATGTGTTTTTTAGGTAATTTATAATGAACTTCAAACTGTTGTTTGTCACTTTTATTTTTAATGTCTCTGCTTTATCTTTAGAAGTTATTGCTTGATTTTGACCATGAGTTAGTTATTTTCATTTATAGTTGTATTGGAGAGTGAAAAACCATACATAATGCTTTAATCCTGTGGAATATGGCACTTGAGTTTTGTGAGAATTAATGTACATCATTATTTAAGTGTACCTCTTTTCCTCCTCCAACTGCAAGTTCAGTTCTCCTTTCTCCTTTTCTGCTACTTCAACTAAGTTCTTAAGGGCATCAATACTCTTAGTACTCTCTAAGAGTACTTCTTCATGTTTCTTTCTTACAGTAATAAGCTCTTGTTCAGCCTTAGAATAAAATAACATTAGCATGAGATTCACYGAAGGGATGATGGATGAATGCAAAGGAGTGGGAAAAAAGAAATAAGTAATAGAAAGGAAGGGAATGAATGTTTTATCACCTTTGATACTTGACTTGTTGCACTTGCCACTTCATTTCTTTCAAAGTCTCTTTCTTCAAGCAATGTTTGGATCTGTCTTTCTCTGTCCTGCAGAGCTTCCTATTACAAATTAACATTAATAGTGAGTGAACAATAAAATGAAAAAAAAACTGTTACACAAAACACCTACAATTATAGGAAATAAAAACACTACATAATTCATTTTTCACATTAGACACTACTGTATGAATATGATGTACCTGTAGAGCAACAACTTGAAGACTGATGTGTGCTTTGCCTGGGGAGGCTTGAGTAATGTCATTGTTTTCCTCAGACTACAAAAAAAGATAAAATAACTTGGTCACAAACACCTTGTACATTCAATGTTCCTGGAATCCATGGTAATCACTGCTTGAGATTTCAAAAGGAAAGTGCAAATACCCACCTTTTGTGCTATAGCTGATACGCTACTAAGTGACAGTGGCGTCAGTTCTGGGGAACTAACAGAGTTCTCTCTACTTGTTTTGGGAACTGTGTCAACTCGGGAATTGACTGCTGACTCTGCCAGCTGTGGTGGCAAGGATAATGACCCTTCTTGAGGTGGAGGAGAGGTTGGAAGTTTTGCTGCTTCCTTTTTGCCTGTTTTGACAACTTTGTGAACAGGAGCAAAGAGTCCAAAGTCTTGTTGACAACGGAAATACCTGAAAACAAATAATGGAATTTACTTGACACAAAACATTAGACATTATAGCCCTAGTATTTCCAAATTGATTCATAACTACAAATGCAAAGTCTAAATAATGTGTTTTGCAATATCAGTCTAGTATCTAGGCAAATGATTTTTCTTTCATGACATCACAGAGTGACCAGGTCACCCCAGGTTAGCTTTGCTACAGTAGGAACACCTGGGTAGCATATGAATTCATAACAAGTGATAATGAGAACAAAACACTTCTTTTGGTTTAGTAATGTATGTCTAGCTGATAAGCATAGAGTGTAWTATTCAATAATATAGCTTGGATTATGAAATAAAAAGGTCATTTTATTTTAAGGATATTTTATTTGTTATTCTGCCATGTATAGTTTGAACTGAAACACATCATTTAACCATTTGGACACCTTGATGACCATACCAACTTCTGTTAAGAAATCACTCAAAAACTGTGCTATTCTACAACTTTATACACCTGAATATTTTATTTCTTGAGGATTTGAGATATATTATGATGGTGGTTACAGGAGTTCCACTAATTAGTGCTTTAATAACCACTGCACAAAGTACCAGTCCATGGATGTTTTTGTGTTTTAAACCTGCTCTTTGTTTTTGTATTGTTCTTTTTGTTTTGGATTGAACAGAGCACTTGATGTTGATTTGCCCAGAAACAAAACATGCTTCACAAATTATTAAATGTTTACAATAGTCTGAAAAAAGCACAGAATTTAGTGATCGAAATACACATCAAACTACTTTATTGATAAAAATGTAAAGCAGAATTACAAAATAATACCACAACAGATTAATCACATCATTGAAAGATCTAATCTGATCACTGCYTTAATGTTTAGTTATCTAGTCATTGAAGGAGAATAATAGGTTGTTGACATACATAATAATAGACTCGCATCTTATTAGACTAGTAGGATATAAAGTGTTGATAGAACATTCTTATCAGAACTAAAACACTGCTATATTGGCATCTCACTGAGTTCACTCCTACCACAACTACCAGAAAAGATAAATATGGATGGAGTGAAATACATTTTAAAATTTGAGTTTGTTTGCAGCTGTATCATGAAGACAATTATTTGTCTGMATGTATTCTGATAATTCACAAGGATATTAATAATTTATTAGACAACACTAATAGTTCTTGACCTAACACACACCCACTATGTTGATAATATAGGTGCCATGAGGTTGTCATCAAAGGCAAATAATAACAGCAAATAAGATAGAATATGTCATACAAAAACAACAAAACTACAAGTTCATTTATTATCTAAAATCTGTTATTCCAGGTTTCTATCTACATTAATTCAGTTTCTCTTTTGATACGGAGAGCATATTCAAAAGAATTTTAAATGGCAAAGTTACAAGAAAATGATTTCCGAGAGGTTTCGGTTACTAAGAAATGTGTATTTGTATGTATTCAAATAAGCCCTGTACAATCAATAATTTACATATCAAGCCAATATTTTGCATACCGAGTACAGTGAAAAATAACAACTGCAATATCAAACCATTAGAGCTARAGACTAATAACAGTTTTAAAATATATACTCTAGAGAAAGTATACAGATAAGCTTAACAGAATAGTTACAAACATTATGAGATTTGTTCAGAATGTGTACWGTAATGATCAAAGTAACAACTGAAGACAAATAACAAAATCGTCAAGACACATGTACACAGCTTGTAAAACGGATCAACTAATAGGACTGGCATAAAAAAGTATGTTTAGTGAACAAATTACTGTAAATCTRTTGAATGACAATACCTTGTTCCCGCCACAGCGCCGTCGTTCTTTCCTAGCGGTTCATCCAGTTCAACTCCAGCCCATTCGCCCTTAGCGAATCCAGTCGTTCCAACATATCTGACTGTGCCGATCTTTGTACCACTAACTACTACTCTATCACCTATCTCAAGAGCAGTACTAGGCCCATCGTTGTGTATTGTTTCAGTAACTTTGTTGATTTTTGTAAGTTTCTCCAACTTCGTAAACACACCATGTAATGGTTTACATTCAAAGTACCTAACACCCGCAACGGAACCGTCATTTTTGCCCAAAGACTCATCCAAAATCACACCAGCCCAGTCACCTTTAGCAAACTGCGTTTCCCCAATGAAGGCAATTGCTCCTGGCTTAGCACCGCCGACCAAAACACGATCCCCGATTGAGAAAAACTTTTTCAAATCGGCCGCCGGGGTGGCTTGTTGACTTTGCGAAGATGAGCCACGTCTTCGAACTGACGATCCTGAAGAGTCTGACCCGGTACTTTTAAGACTACTACTTGATCCTTCTCGTCGATATTGAAGGCGAGTCTCTGAGTTTTCTCTCGACAATTTWGGCTGTTGTTGACTTGATGTGGCGACGATTGAGCCACGGGGACTTGTTAGTCCAGTGGCTGCAGCCGTTGATCCCCGTGGTTTCACAACACTGCTTGTTGCAGTACTTCTTCCCGCTGATGGCGATACTTTACTTGCTCCTGTACTAGGAGTTGTTTTCCCTGCTGGTGTTCCTCGTGGTCTGACAGCTCCRGCGCTAGGGTTTGATGGCGAACTAACAGTTCCACCTCCACCTTGAATGGGTTTGTGGATCTTGTTTGGCGGTTTTAGGCCCGTTCTTGCTTGAGGAATTTGGCTCATTTTACCTSTACAATGAGATTTTTAGAGATTTGAAGGGACGAAAGCCTTAATAAATAACCATCTAATCTAAGAATGGCTCCCGCAACTTGATGAAAAGACGAGGAAAATTCATACAGAGCAAAGATTCAACCCATCGCAACAACCCTTGCAATCCAATATGGCGACTTAGTAGGTACCAGTCTCYCGACACTTCACATMCAAGTTTGGTCAATTTCTCAAAATAGCACTTTAGATGAATGTGACAAATAAATATGGTCACCTATGCATTGTGGCATTCATTTCCGGAATAAAATCGAATACTCAATAACTCCTAATAAAACAAAAAGACTGTAGAATATATGTAAAAAAAAWTTTGATTGACAGATGTCAACAATCCCAGAATATATAAAACCGGCATATTTTCAAGAAAGGTCAAGCAATGTGCAATGTGSTGGAAMATCAATTCAGTAATACTATTTAGCAGTTAGCAATTTCCCYCAGTTTCTGCAAAGCTGTTTTGTCAGAAAGTGAATATTGGCTAAATTTGYCATGCCAAAATAAAGGAAATATGATGATTACAGAATATTCTATTTAGGAAATATAGTTCTTACAATGAAAATTTTCCTTTTTTTCAAGTTGAAATATTCCTGGGAATACAGGATCAGCGTCAACATTGCAAATCACAGAAGTGCAACCACTCAAATGTTTCAAGCTCACTTACAAACCGACTGACAAAACCAAGAAGTTGCTCCACTACAATGGATAAYTGATGATCCTGAAAAAATTCATGGCTCTTTTGGTATTTGAAATGTAGTATTACATATAATAAGATATTGGGACCAACTTGCACACTCCCAATGGAAACCCTCATAAAAACATGAGCTTTCAATGTTTGTCAATTTTCAAGCTTTTTTTCAAATTTGGTTGTAAGATAGAAATAGTGCTTACTTGCTTATCGAACAAGTAAGGTCAGGCCAATATGGGAAAATTCAGCTATCTTTCTCACAATGAGCTCATCAAGCATGACATCTAGTATATCTAAATATTTCCCATGTTGCCCTACCATGTTGCACCATGTCTTTCAATCATCTACCAATAAGTGCTTGGGACACAATTCTTAACTATTGTTTAATGGCTTCAAGAAAACATGTAACATTGAGATGTAGGAGTCTTTACTGAGCTGGAATACAAAACTTCAAATATTTGGAAATCTGTACAAGAGTGGTTATGGTACTCTCAAGACTTAAGCATTACAGCTGGAACAAAATGTTTGATTTTTTAACTCCTAAAGTTACACACACATGCAACAATTTGAACTGTACTATAGGTATTTGATGTACATTGCTATCATGTAGGTTAGAGTTGAGACAAATTCTGGAATATTCAACAAAATCTAAAAAGATATAGATTTAAAGGTAGATTTATTTTCCAGTTGTTCCTTTGAATCAAGCACTGTCCTGGAACAATGGTATTCACCAAATTGCAAATAGTATGTTATTACGATAACCTTGCTATACAATAATATTGAATAATCACAATAAAATCTAYGCTCAAACTTGAGTGTCATTAAAAAGAAATATTTTCCCAGATTAACTCAATATGGAATTAAAAAATTGGTTCCTATGTTTTTGTGTGTTTTGGTATTAATATAAGGTTCTTGCAATTAGGTGTGATCATTTGATACAGTTGAACTCTTGAGAACAGTCTCTTTACAGAAATTATTAGATTAGCAAAACAGTTTCAATTATACTACACAGGATTAAGAGAAAAAAAAACAATACTGTATGATACAAAAACCAATCAAAAAATATGTGGAGAACCTGTAAAGATATTTTGTTGTAGTAAAAGTTGACAAACCTAGATCTAAATACATCATAATAAAATAGGAATTACTCCCCTCTGAGGATAATTATTAGTAACAATGCAATCTGGAACACAGTGCATGCTCTTTGTTCTTTACACTGTTTTACGGTGACATTTAAAGGTGTGCTATGCAGGTCGTTTTTCACCATGTTTCTTTGTAAATTCCTCAGCATTTTTCAGAAACTTCTTTTTGTCTTTTGTGTATTCCTCTGCAATATCTGCTCGGAGTGGATGTTCTGGTTCTGGGTCATGAATTAAAGCCACTAGTGCTTGGATAACTGAAACAGAATATAACATTAATATTATTTATCAAATTCATTAATAGTTCATAAGGTAAACACAATGGAAAATCATTGCTGTGACCACATCTTTATGATTTTCTCTTACAAATGATATTTTATCATGTCTTTTTCGAAATATGCTTAATAGCTTATGTTGGAATTTGATAAGCAACATAAATATTCGTGTCCGACCTTTATGGGCTATAAAACTGCTCGCTTGCAGCTCGCAGTTTTAAATGCCCATAAAGGTCTCCCGCTCATATTTTATATATTACATAAAGAAAAAAAAAGAGAACAAATTTTTAAATATAGTTTAAAAACAAAAATATCATAATGACCTTAGGAGTGCAAATACTTTAAATGTGAAACATAAATAGTTTACCAAATAGTTGCTAAATAATGATATTTATGTATTCCCTATTGTCCATTCGTTTCACAGATCAGTGCACACCATTTTAAAACAAAGAAATCRCATACTTATGGCCTTAGTTTGTCCAGAAGAATTGTTTATTAAATAGATTTTATCTAATTCAATATGTGCATTTTATATTTAAAAAAACAATGAAAATTGTGATATAACGAAAAATAGTGTATTACTCTGGATTAGCATCACCCAGAAGAATAAGAAACTATATCAACATTGTCAGCACTTTTCACAATCCATATATACATTGCATACAGTAGATACCTTGGTCAGTTTTGGTTGCTGGTTTCCAGTTTTCTGGGCTAATTATTGGTAAACAAACTTGACCCTTTTCATCTATATTTGGATGGTAGATTTTTGTCTTAAATGTAATCTGTGCAAAGAAAACATACAACATTGGCTTGCAGCATGTGAAAGAATGATACATGAAAATGTGCTCATCAAGTGTCTATCTATCCATTACCAGCTCTGATAGTACCTTGGAGATGATTGGTTAAAACATAGAATTTCATATAATGTAAAATCATACTAATATAATTTGTATGCAAAACTTTCTTGGTTTTCACTGATCATGTGATAGTTATTTAGCTACATGTATTTAATTAGAGTTCAAATTTGCGAGCTTACAATATTGTTCTGGAAAGAACATCTAAATTAAAGGATCATTACAAAATTTTGAGMAAAAATAATCTTTTTTAAAGGAGAACTCCACTTAACCCCATAGTTGTTTGATCAATTGAAGTTCCTTCTCAAAGATTACCAAGGGACTTTGGCGCATCTTCAACGGCAAGAGAGAAATATGCATTGAAACTAGAGAAAATTACTGACATGAATGCCGCCATCATACCATCAAGGATTTTGTTGGTAGTAATGTTTGCAAATTGTTTTTATCTTAATTGTAATTTATTAATGAATAAAATTTTTATATAATGCTGGCTCAACCCTAAACCTAACCCTAAACCTAACCCTAAACCTAACCCTAACCTTAAACCTAACCCTAAACTGATTTGTACTGGATTGAGTTATATTGGACTGGCTCAAAATAAACTGAACCAGTTCAGAAGAAATTGAACTGGTTCAAAATCATATTGAACCTGAACTACAACATTAATAACTCAATGAATAAACAGCAAAAAGGTAACATGCAGAGAGAACTTATCTACTACAATGTCATGTGACTTAAGAATTAAGAATTAAGTGATTTAAGAATTTTTTTTCAACTGATGACACCACATGAAAACCAAGAATAAAGTTACAGTCAGCATTGCTACCTTTGGAGGTTTGAATGGATATTCTGCAGGAAACACAATTTCAATTTTAAAAGCACCTTTGCTGTATGGAGGGTTGGCCTATAACAAAAACAAACAATATAATTATTATAACTATAGCTATATTACTATAGCTAGAGACTCCCTGAATTTTCATAATACAGTATAATGTATTCTAACAGAAAAAAGTCTATTTTAAGCCTGAACCTTGCAAATTGTTACATAGGTAATTATCATTATGATAAATATATTCTCTGTTCATCACCACTGATTTATGAAAGCTGATTTACTGGGATACTGCTAGTTAATTGACGAATTACGGTCATCTCGCCCCATTGCCATCTCGCCCCCACCATCTCGCCCCCACTATTCCATCTCGCCCCCACCATCTCGCCCCTACTTTGCCATCTCGCCCCAATATTATATATCCGTTAGTTCACATTTCAGATGTTATTTATGTGATTCTAGCGCGATGTATGTGATTTATTACATGTCAGGAACAAGTCTTGAATACACTTGCTTGTTTATTCAAGCGGCAACTGGTGTTGTTGTTGTCGTTCGATCGAAGGTTTATACCGTGAAGCTAATACGCAGACTTTTTAATCGAGCTTTAGTTGTGATCGAGAATGTTAGTAAACTAACAAGCTCTCCAATCAGTCTGTTTACGTCGAAAAATGCAACTAACTTCTTTGAATTTTGTTTTAGAAGTCAAGCCTTGTTAACACAGGTTGATATACAAACGCTGATCACATGAGTCTCTCACGTGGTCTCTAAACCGTTTCACGTAGTTAACATAAATCGTGTATACTCATAAATCGTGTAATCTTTGTATTACGAAGTTTTTTTTATTCACTTATACATTTCAAACATTTCATTGATTTTTGTAAAGCATTTATACCATTGACTTCTAAGTCTCGATAAGTCATGTGGTGGCTCCTAAAGGAGCCGTTTGGCAGGTTTTGTTTGCTGACGGCTTTCAGTAGCTGCTTCGATGTAAGCTCTCCTGCCTCGTACCTTCCCCACAGATCGAAGATTTTGGCTTAGACTTCTCGGTACTTTCTACGCCGGATTTTTCTTAGTTTTTCAGCCTTTACAATACGGATTTGAAGGCGGACCGTTTTTACTTCTTCATACAAGAACCAGTTATAACAACCAACATCCAACATATCACACATGAAATGTCTGGAATTGCTCATTCAAAATCTGTTAGACAATGTAAACCAGTATTTTCTTTCAGTACTTGAAAGAATATAGTAAAGATTCAATTTCAATCCTCGAATGACCTATATGTTAAAGATACGCTTTGACATTGTCACTTTAAACATAGTAACTATGCTTTACGGAAATTATCATAATTATCATAACAACCAACAATAAACATAACGGTGTATAAAGAAGGACTTTTTACTGTTATGTTTTCCCAATTTCCGTTACAGCAGTAAGTCCTATATTTATATCTAGAAATTGGCAAAATAAGAAAGCATAAATTTGTTAAAGTGTTATTTGCGAATGAATGCTTATAGGTGTATAATGCGATAAAAGTTTAAAATGCATGTTGTGTTACTTTATTCGTATCGAAATTTGAAAATGGCGGCTTATTGGTCTTACTACGTTGTGTCATCACGACTGACATCATGTTCATTTGATTATCTGAATTGATAGAAATACTTGACATACTTGTAAATTAACTTCAAATATACGTACATGGTGATTTCTTTTAGAGTTTCACAGCAAACAACTTAAGAGAGATTGAATCGAATATCAACAGTGAATTATGATCGCTCACGTCCAAGTCGCGTCGAAACTTATACACAATTGACAGACGAAATTCTTATTATTACGTGAATTTCAACAGTAATCTTCGTATATATAATATTGGGGCGAGATGGTGGGGCGAGATGGCAAAGTAGGGGCGAGATGGTGGGGGCGAGATGGAATAGTGGGGGCGAGATGGTGGGGGCGAGATGGCAATGGGGCGAGATGACCGGTAACGTAATTGACACTAATTTATGCATTGAAAATTGTCAAACACTGAAAAAGTCTTAAAGTTGGAGTTTTTAAAACAACTACTGTATGTAATATATACAATATGAGCGGGCGATCTGTGCGAGCTGAAAGCGAGCTGTTTTAAACCTCATACAGATCGCCCGCGAATATTGTATATTACTTATGAAACGTTGAGGTAAACTAGCTCAGGTTTTAAAGAAACTTTTGAAACTGACTGAGAAAATCAGAGTTAAAGTTTATGCAAATGAACAAGAAATCTGTATGTAATATACAACTCTCTACATGGGCTATGATTTCTATTGTGTTTTGCCTTATGAATATTAATGAGTTTTATAAATTATATATATTGATCTAATATTCGTGCAGCAGAATAGTTTATTAAGACATCAATACAAATTATCAAAAGTTATAATAAACATAAAATATTTTTTCCCAGTTGTTTTTGTTATTACTAAAGTAGAATTTCATTTATCCATTCATTGCTATTTTGAAGATGACAAAAGATGACCAGGAAGTTCTGTAAAGAATAAACATTCTTAGGAACACTTGTTTATTCTTTGAAATCAAATGCAATCTAATGTTAGATACTAAACAACAGCATGGTTTAAAGTGGACAACTGTACACAAAGCATGATACAAAAGAAACTGTATTGCGCCTTTATGGTGATGTATTCTTGAATCAGTATTTTCATTTAGCATCACTACCAATCAAGGTTCAGTGATGTCATACCCAAGATGTGATCATTGCCTTTAGATCCTTTACACAATGCATCAACTCCAAGTACACATAACTTGCTGTAAATAGGTCTGTTTGCTTATTACACTTCACTGCGTYGTCTGATGGACCATTTAAGTGATTTATTTATTTCTCTGTTTGATGTTACTCAGCATTTTTCAAAGGTTAAAAGCATTGCTCACAGTTTTAGGGAGATTCTTCTAAACCCCCTCCCTCTCGACATCAAAAAAAATTCGCAGTCTAAGACTGCATGTGGCTAGTGCTAGCAAAATAGAAATGAATGGAAATTTAAGGGAAATATTAGTTTCATCTTCTTACAAGAAGTGTATGTACATGTAAACAAAAGAATATGAAGAAGTTTTAAGATTTCATTATTAAATTATCTTGACTTTTTTTTGATTTTACAAATTTATTATCCATTGAAAAGGCAAAAGAATATTGTTATGCATCAAAAATTAGCGAAAAGCAAATTGATTTCAAGTATTGGGATCCCTGTGTAAAGTCTATGGCGCATGCGCTGAACGTTTCAGTTGCGTAGCTTTGCTAGCCAGTATGTCAAATACTCCTTTTATCTCGCTTTTAAAAAAATACATCAAATTTCAGTCAAGGCTGTAAAACTGTTTGAAAAATGCAAGCAGTAAGTACYAAGGGCTTTAATCCGATCCAGTGTAATTTTTTGTAATTTTYGTCAAGCAGTAGTCAACTGGTCTCGCGTCCGACTCAGTRCCATATTGATCAGCTAAGACTACAATGTAAGTCTTATAACTAACCTGCATGGATGCTGAGATGAAATAATATAAACCTGAAGTSAAGAATGTCGGGAAGCGAACAACTTATAGCCAAGAAGAGCGGCTGATCGTGGTTAGCAAGAAAGCCTTCGAACAATGGTATTGTAAATATATTAAGTTAAATCATTTGATCCARTGATTGTTTGGATTCTTAAATYTGATTCGATAGTATAAACAGTGAATTGGCAAAACATTTAAATACTTTGTTGAAATGTCACTAGGATGATTGTATACAGTGTTTGTAAATACCTTGGACGACTGTTATACATTTGAAAATACTTTTGAATTTTGTTGTATCAGCAATGATATGATAGAGAGTCAATAAAAGTACAAAAATATGTTGAGATCATATTTTGCTGTAATTAAGTCAGCTATCACTATTCATGTTCCATATATTCGATCTTTGTATAAAATGGACGTATTTGAAAGTACATCCCATATGAATTGGTTGAATTCCTTTTGGTAGTATAAATGAGATGTAACCAAGGAGGAGTATTACTGGAAGTGCAAGTTACCGCAAGTGTTTAATGTATGCAACAGACTACTCATGCCATCATTACACAGGAAACCCAATGTTCACGAAAGACACTGAAATAAAGTTGGTCCGAAATCGGTAGGAAACAAATGCGACCGAAGACTAATCGAGTTATGAACACACCCAAGCACTTTCAAGGGCGAGAGGATAGTGGCTTGAGCCTCTTACGAGGCACTAGCCACAATTATATGGACTGGCCTTAAGTCAATACATCTGCCTAGTCACCAATTCCCCAGATCTTATCATTTCCAGAGAGTTTCTTGGACTTCAGATCATAACCTGTTTTCACTGTATTGAATATATACATTCGAGTTTGCAATATTTAACTCAGATATATGAAGAAAATGCATGACTATGTTTAGTTTAAGTGTCACAATGATCATGATAAATATTCAGCACAAAACACTCTCCATTATTTAGATTGAAGACAGGCGAGGAAAACTTACCGGAACTATAAGTCCCTTCCAATTCAAAATATTCTCTTCGTTAACCTCGATATTACGGAAAAATCCATGACTCTGACCTCTGATATCGTTGAGTTCCTAAAACAATTCACAGACAATCGAGTAATAAATACGGGGCAAAAAAGCTAGCTGGACCAACTTCTATCCAAACATTTCACAATACTGGCGGTGATGTTTCATCAACTTTAGAGGTTGTTTTTTGATTTTTACTTGCACTAGTATAAAACAGGATTTGGTTTTAACAGATCAAAGATAACGCATGTAATGCTMAAGTCAATACACTGACGGTAAATCATTTTACCGGCTTGTGAGAATGTAGACAGAAAAATATCCCGTAACGTGCCGACGAGTGAACGACAACTTATCGAAATTCAAGTAGTTTGATCTGTCTCACAAGACCACAGATAAAATCATTACCTTCAACGGGTACTCAAAAGAATAAGGTACTCTTTTGTCATCAACAAACACGAATTGAAATGGGTTTCGTGAAAAGAATTACAATAATAAGTCGAATTACCTTTCCTAGTCTCCTAGTTGCTGCCATGTTTAGAAGAAATATGGGAGAAATTACCCATAAGGCTTTGGGAAGAGGACAATTTCCGCCCTTGGTACCAGTCTTTATTGTCCATTTCGGGCATAGGAGCCCCAATAAATTAGAGAGCAACACTTATGTCCATGAAATAAAACGTAAATAGTTACTAACAAATAGTTTCTATTTAGTGACTATTAGTCACTATCATTCAGCTGGAACAGATTTAGTAACAATAACAAATACACAAAGGAAACCACGTTTTTATAATTGAAAATGAAGGAAAACGTACTATAAGCTAATTAGATCTTCTATTGTTGTCCAGCTGAATAAGTGACCATAATTGCCACCAAATAAAAACTATTTTTTAGTAACTATTTAGATTTTATTTCATGGACATAGTGTAAGTACTGTAGTGCTCTCAATTCAGTGCCTTCTCAAGAATTATATACAAATTACAAGTTTATATTCTCTTGCAGCTGGTGTGATGTTAGAGTGGTTATTTCATAATAGAGGAAAGTGAAGGTGATACCAGTTTTTTGTTTSCTTGTTTGTTTTAGTTTTGTTTTGTTATTTTGTGGACCGGGGGTACCTCGACCAKCATGGTTGTATCATATTTCTTTGCAGGAGTCTCCCTTTAAAAAAAATGTTGAAAATAATGCTGTGGGATTTTCTACATAGGTATGAAGAAAATGGTTCTGCAAACTATAAAGTTTACCGTTCCACCAAATAGGTTAGGGAATGTTCTTTATCTGGTTTAATTGGATTTAAAAGACTTATTATTCTAATTTAATAATGTCAATTGGTTAACTCATATACAAAACTGATTATTTTTTCACCTTGTTTTGAAGAAAATATTTGTTTTTATGTTATCTTTCACAGTTTGACAGGGGTAAATTTAGGAACACTCATTACAAAACACATTTCAAAAACTCATACATAATTAATGAGTTATTAGGCCAATAGAAATTTGKTCACATGCATGGACCTTTTTATCTGATAAAACACTCCTTATTAGTATTTCTTTATATAAAGAATACTAATAAGGGTGACCTTTATCATATATAAAGGTCCACGACCCTAGCAAAGGTCTCAGGTTTGATACCTGATCATTGATGACTAATGCAGGATGTCAACCAATTTCAGTAAACAGCCAACAGCATTTCTATTTTACTTGATGCATATTCAATGTGGGATGACAAGAGTGCTTTTTAAAGTGATTCGTGCATGATCAGTTGCCTCATTATCAAAATTGATTTTTACAGCAATTTCCCCAAGAATTTTAACGGATTTGAGTTTCAAATAGTAAGTGTTGGTGTTTTTGAAGCCGTTTAAAACACTTCCTCTTGTGTTTTAAACTGTACTTTAAATTTGATATCTAGAGCACATCAGATGACGTCATTTTTTAAATCAAAGCCTGCATTCAGTGGTAGTTAGTCAAGCTGTTATTCCTGTTCTATTGACTCTATTTTTCAAATAAAAAAATTTGCTTCACGAGTCTTTGTATTTTGGCTAAAGTTTGATACGTTGCTTTATTCTCAAACCCACCTTTTATTCATACAATCATACATCTCTAGTAAAAAAGTGTGGATATTTATATCTAGATCGAAATGTTAATGCAGTAAACGATAAGCAAATTCAAACACTGTTGAATGAATGTCATTCTTGAATTAAAAGTTCATTGCCCATTTTCTTTTTAAATAACTAAATAAGAATATAAAAAATATTAAAATATTCAGATGTATGGTAAACATCCAAAGCTCTGTTTGTTTTAATAAAAACTATAATTTAACAGGAACGGGTGAGTATGGACTTAAAAGATTTTACACCTTCCCTCTGAATGAGAGCAGGGATGGTTTATAATATCCCTTTTAGGGTATGCAATCTGTGTTTAGGTGCAGGGTTTTTTGGTACGTTTTTGGTGAAAATAAACAATAATAACCATTCACCAGCTGACCATATTGCATACCCATTATTAAACAACAACTTGACATTTTTTCAGCAGATCTCTCCATCTTAGTTCATAAGTGACCCTCTGTGAAGCCCAGGGTTTGTAAATTATGGAAATTAAAATGGATTTCATATGATTGCATGACGTCATGGTACCAATTGCCTGCTGGTGTTACCAAATAAAAACTATGATTTGGGAACACATCACTGCCAGGCCTGGCATCATCACAGCTTGCAGTCACAACAAAAAGGCCAAAGTTTACAATTTGTATAGTCATAGCAATATTATCGATGCCACAGAAAATGTCATCTTTGATCCTCTATTATATTTTTGCATAGTCTTTTTCTTGGTAAAGCTAAGAATAACAATTATGGCAATTCATTATCAATGACACATCTTCAGCTTAAATTTGAAGTCAGCAAACAAAATCCCCATTGAATTGTCCTACTTCTTTCAACCATACTCCTCACAAAAATGCTTTTGCAATTGCAGTCTCCAAGTAATACACATTAATTTTGGCCTCTCTTTGATTTCTTGCAAGGTGTGACCATGTCATGTGGCATTTTGCACTTTCTTTGTTTTCTACTACGCAATACCATTGTTGAGCATCCTTTAAATAGGTTTAAAGAGCCTGTTTCATTGGTGKTAGATTTTCTGTCTTTTAAGTTTCTACTTGAATTTTTCTTAGCTGACTTTAAATCACCTTTTTCCTTACACACAGCTGCTACTTTCCTGATAGGTTTTTTGTCTTCTGAACTGTTGTTATCGGAGTCAGTTGTTGGATCTCGTTTAGGTAACTTTGCTTTAATATCTTTGGATCTTGTGTTTTGACTTCTCTTGGTGACTGGCTTTTTGTCTTCTGAACTGTTGTAATATATTTTAGTTAACTTAACTACACATTGTTTCTTGGTTATGTCCTTGATGGCAGGCTTTTTGTTTTCTGAACTGTTGTAATATATTTTAGATAACTTTACTACACATTGCTTCATGGTTACTTCCTTAGTGGCAGGCTGTTTGTCTTCTGAGCTATTCTTATCTGAGTCACTAACGGCATCTTTTTTAGCTGACGTCTTTGCAGCCTCT